AATTAATTATTTAAATAATACATAAAATTATATAAAAATATAATATAAAAAATTATTTTTAAATCATTCTCTATTAAAAATTTGCTCATTATCTATGATAAAAAAAGGTTGAAACTCTATTTTGGTCCCTAAATTATTGCATGGACTCTCGATTTGGTCCTTGAACTCAAAAAATCCCCAACTTGGTATTTACTGTTTACCAATTTTACCCCAACTTGGTCTTTCGTTAAAAATGCAATGACGTATCCAGTTAACTAACTGAAGTATAATGACATGTCTAAATATTATGACACATCAGCTATACACATGGACAAAAAAGATACATGTCATCAAAAACACATATGATCCGCGGCTAACCAAAAAAAAAAAACATGGGGCCTACCTCCAACCTGAACTCATTATCTTTTCCCCCTTCTTCCCATTCGAACCCTAGAAGAGCAAAGGGCAACAACAGTAGGTGCGGGGTTCATTGGAACCCAAGGGTTGGGTTCCTTTGAACCCTGGCATTGGGTTCCAAGGAACCTTGGCGCGTGTTCCTTGGAATCCAAGCTCTAGGTTCGATGGAACCCACGAACCCAGCATGCGTGGGTTCCATCGAACCCAACACGCATGGGTTCCTTCGAACCTAGGGGCAAAAAAATTTTTGTTTTTTTTTTTTTTCAATTTTTTGTGGGTTTGATTGTTTGATTGTTTGATGAAGATAAAGAATTGATTGATGAATGAGGGAGGAAGGAAAAAGAAAGGATGCCTATTGGGTTAGATTCAACCTAGGCATTGGGTTCTTTTGAATTGATTGTTTAATTGTTTCATTGAATTGATTGTTTGAATAAAGAAGATTCGAGAAAACAGATGCTGGGGGAAGAAGATGATGGCAAAATGGTACTTTTGGTGGGCCTCACTTTTTTTTTAATGTTGAGTAAGAATATGACTTGTCATGTTGCTATGTCATCATTTATCCATTTGTAAAATTCGTGTGTCTTAAATGTTTGACATGTCATTAAATTTCTGTTAGTTAATGGTAGTTGCTTAATGAAAGGACCAAGTTGGGGTAAAATGGGTAAACAGTAGGGACCAAGTCAGGGATTTTTTTAGTTCAAGGACTAAATCGGGGGTCCGTACAATAGTTCGGGGACCAAAAAGGGGTTTTAACCAAAAAAAAAAGAAGCAAGAAAGAGAAAGAAGAAGATGGAACGGAGTTAAGTATATTAACGGAGATAACGGAAATTGAAGTTAGGTGTAACGAAGGGTGTTGTACACCCGTATCAGCGTCCAAAATGAAAACAGTTGACATTATGCTTTCATATGTAACTTATGCCGTGTGCTGAATCTATTAACGGCTCAATATTGTGAGATTAAGTTGATAGAG